CAACAACAGAGTTGAGTAGTTGCAACAAAAACTATCTGTCCTGCAGAGGTAATATTTTGTACTATCTGGCCCTTTACCAAAAAAAAAAAAAAAAAAAAAATTGCTGGCCCCTATTTTAGGAGAACACTGGCCCCAAGAGCACATTCACCTGGAATAGTCTTCACTCACTCTCATATATATATACGAGAAAGATACTGAGAGAATAAATAAAAGGATATGAGTATAAATGAGCTCTGGATTCCCAGCATTTGGAGCATTTTGGAGTTCTTGGAAGAGAAAATGGAGGATATTAAGAGAGAAAGAAACAACTCAATAGGCAGACCAGTACTGAAGCAGAATATATTCCAGAGTGTGGGTCTGAAGCTGAAAGATATGTCACCATGCCTGTCTCATCCCCAGGGAATATATACTAAGCTGTAAAACTATATCTAATCCATTTTTTATTTTTTGAGGTAATAGTATAAAGAGGATATAGAAGGAAGCACTATTTGACCAGTTTCATATTATAACTAACTTCTTTTGATTCTATTTACCCAAAATCATGACCTTCGACCTTCTCTTATGGACATATCCCTATTTTTTACACAGTCTCCTCATTTATAGAGACTAGGCTACAAAGAACTGTCAGAAATTACATGAAATAATTTCTGTAAGGAAAAAGGACAGAAAAGTCAAAGAAGAAAAGATCTGCTTTAGAATTTCCCTATGATCCAAGAGATGGTGCAATAGGCACATTATTCTGTCTTCCAGACAGGCAGAAAAAAATGAGTGCACACAGATGGTATGGGAAATTCACTTTTTATCCTTGCTAGTTTTGTTTGTTTGTTTTTCCTAGGTGAAACACTCCATTCCTGAAGAACTGTTTCCAAAATCCTTCCTTTATCAAGACAATAGTTCCCTACTTGCTGACTATTCCTAGAAAAAGCAGATTTGAATTTGAATTCTGTCTTCTCCACTTTATAGCTAAGTGGCTTGAAACAAGTTATGGATTTCATCTGAGCCTCAGTTTGCTCATCTGCAAAATGGAAATATAATATCTAGATAACAGGGTTGTTGTTAGAATTAATGAAACAATGTACACCCACACACAAAGCACTATGCTTGACATAAAAAGGAATGTAATTTCCATTCTTCTGCCAACACACAGAGAAAGGTACTCAAAAACCTAGAACATGGCACATACCATAGAAAAGCTTTTCTCCTGAAACCTATCATTTCCAAGGGGAAAAACCACTAACCAAACCTATGATGGAGGAATCTTCATGTGCAACCCTGTTACTGTGGAGAACACACTCTGAAAAAAAACATGAATCTGTTTCAAAAGTGGCTTTGGTGATAATCTAGTCCAACTCTTAATAAGTAATTCTCAACGAGGAGAGAAGAGACCAAAACACATATATAATATGCCTCTTATTTTCATGATACAAACCAGGAAATAAAGCCTAACAAAATTCTAGTTGGTGAGCATATTCAGAAAACAAAGTACTGAAAGAATTAATTTTTTCTTTAATAGTAAAAAACTATTCATATGATACTTGACAATAAATTCAATTACTTCACAAAGAGCTCATTGCATTTTCAATCAATGCAAATATTAAATATTTCTACCTTACATCAAATCAAAATTTATCTCCCTTTTATGAGCAGCCAAAGATCCCTTGCTCTGTTCCCTTTCCCCACCACCTCACACACGCTGACATTCACAAATTCACCTTCACTCTTGCTCTCTCATGCAAGAGTTAGTGGTTCTGATGTACCACACTTTTCAGCCCTTGTTTTCTCTCAGATCTTCCTCTCCTGGAGAATCTTCCTGAAAAGCAAATACAGAAGAGGAGCAAAGAGTGGTAAACTACAGCCTGCAGTTCATAGCTAGCTTGTCATCCATTTTTGTGTAGCCTACAGGATAAAAAGGTTTTCTACATTTGTAAGTGGTTGAAAAAATATATGACATGTGAAATTATATTAAATTCAAAGATCAGTATTGATAAATGAGTTATACTGAAACAAAACCATGCTCGTTTGTTTACATATCATCTATGGCTGCCTTTATGCTACAACAACAGAGTTGAGTAGTTGCAACAAAAACTATCTGTCCTGCAGAGATAATATTGTGTACTATCTGGCCCTTTACAAAAAACAAGTTTGCTGGCCCCTATTTTAGGAGAACACTGGCCCCAAGAGCACATTCACCTGGAATAGTCTTCACTCACAACCCTCTCCTCCCTTCGTGACAACAGCTGGCTCCTGCAGGAAATTGGTCTTCACTCAGCAAACTCCACCTCCCCTTTACTCCCACAGTCTCAGCCACACCTTTAAAAGGTCATTGTTCTGATGAGGCATGAAAACCTGGCCCAATCAGATGTCCAGAGGAAACACGTCTACAGAATGGATACTGACTCTGCAGCCCTCTGGGCAATTCTTAGAAGAAAACACATAGCCTAACAATAGTTGAATTTGGAATCCTGTAATTTATCACTTGCCAACAGTTGCTACCACACCTTCTCAAATCCCGATGACCATATTGCACAAGTTTTAAGTCCATGTAACTTCACACACCTTCAGTGAAATTTGTGTTATATGTTCACAATGGAAGAAATGCAGAGCGAGGGCCTCAGAAAAAAGCAGAAAGCTATTCATTGATTCTCAATGCTAAGATTCAGTTTATATTCAGGTAAAATCATGTCCTCAGGCAAAAAAGACAAGAGAGAGGGCAGACCCTAGTAATCATGTGAAAAGGTGGAAGTTGGTCAACACAGAGGACTATAGTCTTGATCCTTGTTTTTCTTTCAATTGAATTCAAACTTACATTTATTGGAGACCGTTATGTGACAAGCAGTATACTAGGTCTCCAAGTGACATAAGGATAAATAATGTCCATTCCTTATTCTCACGGAGCTCATAGCCTAGAAATGAAATAAGCCCGTAGACAAATGTGTGTGTATGTGTGTATACGTGTGTGTGTATGTGTGTGTTTGTGAAAGGCAAGGATATACAACAAATAACTAACAGTAGTTATTTTTGGCTAGTGGTTTTAAAGGTATTTTGATTTTATCTTATTTGCTTATCAATATTTTCTAATTTTTATATTAAACAATAATTGTATAGTAAAACAATTTTTAAAGATTACAATATAGTATGATTGATACAACAATAAATATGAACAAGATACACAATTACAACTCCCTCTTGAGTAATTCAGGAAAGATTTCCTATGGGAAGCCTAAATTGGATTTTGAAGAATAATTAGTTCACTAGGCAATGAGGAAAGACATTCTAAGAAAAAAATATGAAATAACATGGTGTATTGAGGAAGTTTGAAATATTACTAGTTAATTACTGGTGGAGCACAAAGAGAAATATGGAGGGGAGAAATGGAGCTGGAAAAAAGCCACAGCCCAGATCATGAGGAGTCATAGATCCCACACTAACATGCACACATTTCTTCCTAAGATTATATGGTGTTTGAAATGAAAGCTACGTTGGTGAATGGCCAATAAGGGGTCTGGTAAATTGAGATAAAAGGTAAAATGAAATTAAAGAGATAAAAGGATGACCTGGAGCCATTATCCATTTCAAAAGGTAATAACAATACCACAGATGACACTTTGGCTGGAATATCATTTAAGAAAATTTAGCTTAGAATGGAGAGTTTGACAAGATGATCTTTACAGTCCTTTTAATCATCAGTTTCCATGATTCTTTGACATTTGGGCCATGATATCCCTGCACACACTCCATTCAATTTCTATTAAAATCCACACAATTTGTTGTCAATGTATTGTGCTACATAGTTTGATAAATACAAAAAGAGGCCTTTCTGCAAAATGTCCTGACACTTTGGCAGGTGGGGCCGAGAGTAGCCCAGATTTGGGAACTGCTAATGCAATCTTAGGTGAACATGTAAGGAAGTGAAAAAGAAGGTAAACACCTGGGAGGTGGAGACAGAGGTGGTGATGGGCTTGTTTAGGAGTAAATTAGGACATCTCAAAGAGAGCAGCTCCTCCCTAAGATGGACCATTATTCCCTCTATAAAAAGGCCACTCTGCCCAACTAGCAGCACCCTGAAAGCTGCTTCTGTCTCTATCCTACTTGTTCCTCTGGTGAGCTAGGTAAGTGAGCAGGAGTTCAACTCCATTCAAGGGTACTTAGGGCTATAAATTATGAAAGTCCGGGATATGCTCTAAGGCAAAGAGGCACTAGATACAAGGCTTCTCTTTAGTATACTCTGGGGAACTTTGGTATAAGTTTAAGTTTACTGAAAAGAAAAATGAAACGACTAGGACTATGTATATTATCTCCTTTCTTTGAGGTTGTTTCCCTCATAACATGGATACCATGGGGTTCTAATTATCCACAGGCAGGTTGCCTTCTTTACAACTGAGTTTTTTCTCTCTATTGTGTAATAAGGTCTGAGGGTCACTTCCTGCTTGGAGAATGAGAACAGAAGCTGGATCTAATAGCAGTTACCCTTAGCTTCATATCACCTAGGCTTGTTGTTGGCTTTGCTCACATTGTCTACTTTCTCTGACCTAGAAGTCTTGAGAGTTCAGTTCAGCCATTGATGCTCCTTAGTTGGAGTAAGGCATGTCATGTATATAGTGGAACTGTACCCATAGTATGGTTGGAACCTAGAGAGAAAGAGGAAGCAGATGAAGTAGAACACTCAGGACTTCTACAGCTCCAGAACAAAGCTGATATTATCCCTGGTAATGGTGGGAAGCCAAAAACAGAGTCATTTTTCCTATATTCATTCAGGAATGGAAATAAGACCTATGGATTATGTTCCTAATTTCATCACTCTCTTGCTACATGACTTGAACAAGTCATTCAACTGTGAATTGCTTCTTGATTACAACAGAATGAAGTTAATCATGCCTGACTAATTCTGAACAATTATTATAAATAATCAGACCTACTTATGTGTTTAAACAAGAAATGAGAATAGTAAGGGTTTGATCTCTCTTTTTCCTCCCTTTAGGTTATTCAAACTTGCAAAAAAAATGCCTAAACTCCTACAAGGCATCATCACTGTCATTGATGTTTTCTACCAATATGCCACCCAGCATGAGGAGTATGATATGTTGAACAAGGCAGAGCTGAAAGAACTTCTGGAAAATGAGTTTCATCAAATTCTGAAGGTAAGAACTCCATGCCAGGATGGAATTATGCAGGAATTTTCTTCTTTATCCCTTTCCACCTTCTTGTCACATATGTCAAACATCCTAGAGGATTCTTCCTACTTGGTGATAGAGAACAGGGTTTGGTAAAAGTTTGAGATAACGTCAAAAGCTGATCCATGATGGTTTCCATAGCATAACTAAAGGAAGTGATCCTACTAAACAACAAACAAAACCCATAGATTAAATAATGTCCAATCTAAGTGACTAATTCTTACAAACCCACACAGTCCTCAGAAAAACTGCAAAGTAGATATCTGAGTTCAGGAAATTAGCATTACCCCTGAATCACAAAAGAGTGTGTCCGCCACCTTAAAACTGTCAGGTCTAGATTTGATAGCTTAGATATTTGGGAGCTTATATCAGACTTCTGAGTTTCAATTCCTTAAATTTGGATTTCTATGGATTTCAGATATGATGTTCAGATATCAGATGTCATATATTCAGTGTGTCAGCTAAGAATCTCATAATCTTCACCTCTAACTTTGTTTCTTCATCTTTTTGCTGAAAGCAAAAACCTGGTATCATTTTTTATTTTCTCTCTCTCAGCAGACACCACTACCTTCCAACCTCCATCTAACTCATCAATAATCTCTCAAAACAACCCGTTTCTCTTCATCACTATTATTAGTCCTCTGGTTCAGGCCACCTACTACTTCTACTCTCAGCATTAGATGCAAATATAATCATTTCACTCCTCAGCTAAAAATCCTTCAATAGTTCCCGATTGCTCTTAAAATGAAGTACAAAGTTCCTTAACATAACGTAAAACTCATAATCTAGTTGCTATTTATCTCTCTATCCACATTTCTTGAGTCTTCAAACTCTAAATCTAGCAATCCTGAATTTCTTTCAGTTCCCTGAAAGCTCTATGACTTCTCTCACCTGTAGCCATTTGTTCATATCATTCCCTCTGCCTAGAACAATCTTTTCCCCTTCTCCTTCCCTTCCTACTCCTTCATTTGGCTAATTCTAATCCATCCTTCAAAAGGCATCATTTCCTCTCATTAACCTTTCTAGGACCCCCAATGGTTCCTCTCTCATGTACTCTTGTAGAAACCTTATCATAATAAACTATAATTTTAAGTTTGTATATCTGATCAAATAAACATTAAATTCCATTTTTTTCAGGAAGTAAACTTGTTCACTGCTTTATACTCTCATATGACATAATGGTAGGCAAGTAGTAACATAATAAACCTTTGCTCAGTGAGTAAATTAATTACCTAGTTAATTTAATTGGACAAATAAAGTTGATATAATTAACGTAAGTATAAAAATGTATTACTTGTAAATTAACTAATCATTCATATTTGACCCATTCTTTACCAAAAATAATCAGCCCTCTTGTTTCCTTTCATTTTCCAGTTGCATCCTATCCTATTCTAGCTGTTTCTCACTGCATTATTCATTCCATATTCCTTTTTCTCTTTCTGCTCAGGACTGCCTAAGTGACTACGTGAATGAGTTCCATATACATAAGCCAAACATTTATATTTTAACATCCTTCCTTCAGTTGGTTAGCTAGGTGTATTGTCCATACTAACAGAGCTACTCTTTGTACCTTGCTCTTATACAGAATCCGAATGATCCAGATACTGTGGATATCATCTTGCAAAGTCTGGATCGAGACCATAACAAGAAAGTGGATTTTACGGAGTATCTTCTGATGATATTCAAGCTGGTTCGGGCTCATAATAAAATCATTAGCAAAGATTACTGCCAAGCTTCAGGGTCAAAGCTGAGAGACGACAGTCACCAGCACCAAGAGGAACAAGAAGAAACAGAAAAAGAGGACAAATGGCAAGAATCCTCTTCTAGTCATTCAAGTTGGAGTGCAGGAGAGAATGATTCCCATTCCAGGAACGTCAGAGGAAGCATTACACATGGGCCTGAATCCATATCCAGAAGACTGAGTTTTCAAAGAGACTTTTCTGGCCAAAATGACTCCTGCTCAGGTCAGTCTTCCAGGTATGGTCAGCATGAGTCTGGCTCCCATCAGTCTCCAGGACACGGCCAACGTGGGTCTCACTCAGGGCAGTCTCCCACCTATGGTCAACTTGGGTCTGGCTACAAACGGTCTTCCAGCAGTGGGCCACATGGGTCTGGCTCACGCCAGTCTTCTGCCTTTGGTCAACATGAGTCTACCTCAGGGCAGTCCTCTGGACACAATCAGCATGGATCTGGCTCAGGGCACTCCTTCAGCCATGGGCAGCATGGTTCTACATCAGGACAGTCATCAAGTTCTGGCCAGGAGGGATCTAGCGCAGGCCAGTCTTCCAGCTACGACTACCATGGTTCTGGCTCCAGTCAGTCTCCTGGCTATGGCCGACACAGGGCTGGATCAGGCCAGTCTCCTAGCCGCAGCCTACATGGGTCTAGCTCCGGTCTGTCTTCCAACTGTGGCCCACAAGGGTCTGGCTCAGGCCAGTCTTCTGGCTTTGGTCAATACGAGTCTAGCTCAGAGAAGTCCTCTGGTTACAGTCAGCATGGATCTGGCTCAGGTCACTCCTCCGGCTACGGAAAACACGAATCTAGGTCACGACAGTCATCTAGGGGAGAACAACATGGATCTAGCTCAGGTTCATCTTCTACCTATGGTCGACATGGGTCTGGCTTTCATCAGTCTTCGGGCCACGGCCGACACAGGTCTGGATCTGGCCAGTCGCCTACCCCTAGCCACGGCCGACATGGGTCTGGCTCAGGGCAGTCTTCCAGCCGTGGCCCATATGAGTCTGGCTCAGGTCACTCATCTGGCTTAGGTCAACATGAGTCTCTCATCTGGCTTAGGTCAACATGAGTCTCGCTCTTCAGACAGTCCTCTGGCTACGGTCAAGGATCTAGCTCGGGTCACTCCCTTACCCATGGGAAACATGGTTCTACATCAGGACACTCATCAAGCTGTGGCCAACATGGAGCTAGCTCAGGTCAGTCTTCCAGCCATGGTCAGCATGGCTCTGGCTCAAGTCAATATTCTGCCATGGCCGAAAGGGCTCTGGATCTGGCCAGTCTCCCTAGTCGGGCCGATGGGTCCAGATCCGGCACTCTTCTAGCTACGGCCAACATGGGTCTGGCTCAGCTTCGTCTCTTCCAGCCGTGGCCCATATGAGTCTGGTTCAGGTCACTTTTCTGGCTTTTAAGTCAACATGAGTCTGGCTCAGGACAGTCCTCTGATACAGTCAGCACAGAAGGTCTCAGGGCACTCCTCTAGCCATGGACAGCATGGTTCTACATCAGGACACTCATTAAGCTTTGGCCAGGAGGGATCTAGCACAGGCCAGTCTTCCAGTTACGGCCACCAGAGCTCTGCCCAGTCAGTCTTCTCCGGATACGACCGACATGGGGCTGGATCTGCCAGTCTCCCAGCCGTGCCAACATGGGTCTGGTTCAGGGCAGTCTTCCGCCATGACCACATGGGTCTGGCTCAGACAGTCCTCTGGTTATAGTCAGCACGAAGGGCTCAGCGCATTGCCTAGCCATGGACAACATGGTTCCACATCAGACAGTCCTCTCAAGCTTCGCCACAAGGATCTAGCTCAGGCAGTCTTCCAGCTACGGCCAGCAGGGCTCTGGCTCACATCAGTCTTCGGGCCATGGCCGACATGGGTCTGGATCTGGCAGGTCTCCTAGCCACGGTCGAAATGGGTCCAGTTCGGCACTACCCTGCCACGCCAACAAGGATCTGGCTCAGGTTGTTCCTCCAGCCGTGGCCATTATGAGTCTGGCTCAGCCAGTCTTCTGGGCTTTGGGCAACATGAGTCAGGCTCCAGCACAAACCTCTGGCTATAGTCAGCATGGTTCTGGCTCAGGTCACTCCTCTAGCCAGGGACGACATGGATCTACATCAGGGCATTCATCAAGCTCTGGCCAACATGGCTCTAGCTCAGGTCAGTCTTCCAGCTATGGTCAGCATGAGTCTGGCTCCCATCAGTCTTCGGGTCACGGCAGACATGGGTCTGGATCTGCCAGCCTCAGGCCACGGCTGACGTGGGTCTGGGTCAGGCAGTCTCCCAGCTATGGCCAACATGGGTCTGCCCAGGTTTGCTCTGCTGTCTTCTGGCTATGGCCGACAGGGCTCTGGATCTGGCCAGTCTCCTAGTCGCGGCCGACATGGGTCCGGTTCCGGGCACTCCTCTAGCTACGGCCAACATGGGTCTGGCTCAGGTCGTTTTCCAGCCGGGCCTACAGATCTGGTTCAGGTCACTCTTCTGGCTTAGGTCAACATGAGTCTCGCTCAGGACAGTCCTCTGGCTACGGTCAACAAGGATCTAAGCCTGGTCACTCTACCCATGGGCAACATGGTTCTACATCAGGACAGTCAATGGGCTGTGCCAACATGGAGCTAGCTCAGGTCAGTCTTCCAGCCACGGTCAACATGGCTCTGGCTCAAACTGGGGCTCCTCTGGCTATGGCCGACAGGGGCTCTGGATCTGCCAGTCTCCTAGTCGGCCGTGGCTATGGGTCCGGGCTCCGGGTAATTTTTCTAGCGCACAAGCAACATGGGTCTGGCTCAGGCTGCTTCAAGCCAGCCTGCGCTGGTGGCTGACAGGGCTCTGGATCTGCCAGTCTCCTAGTTGCGGCCGATGGGTCCGGTTCCGGCACTTTCTAGCTACGCCATGGGTCTGGCTCAGGTCGCTCTTCCAGCCGTGGCCCATATGAGTCTGGTTCAGGCCAATTTGGACAGCCAACATGGGAGTCTGGCTCAGGACAGTCCTCAGGATACAGTCAGCACGGAAGTGCTCAGGGCAGCCCTCTAGCCATGGACAACATGGTTCCACATCAGGACAGTCCTCAAGTTTTCGCCACAAGGACTTGCTCAGGCAGTCTTCCAGCTACGGTCAGCAGGGCTCTGGCTCACATCAGTCTTCGGGCCATGGCCGACATGGCCCTGGATCTGGCAGGCTCTCTAGCCACGGTCGAAATGGGTCTAGTTCGTACTTACTCTCGGGCACAAGCAATAAGGATCTGCTCAGGTTGTTCCTCCAGCCGTACATTATGAGTCTGGTCAGGCCAGTCTTCTGGCTTTGGGCACATGAGCTGGGCTCAGCACAGTCCTCTGGCTATAGTCAGCATGGTTCTGGCTCAGGTCACTCCCTCTAGCCAGGACGACATGGATCTACATCAGGCATTCATCAAGCTCTGGCCAACATGGCTCTAGCTCAGGTCAGTCTTCCAGCTATGGTCAGCATGGAGTCTGGCTCTACTGTGTCTTCGGGTCACGGCAGACATGGGTCCATCTGGATCTGGCCAGTCTCAGGCCACGGGCCACGTGGGTCTGGGTCAGGCAGTCTCCCAGCTATGGCCAACATAATCTGGCTCAGGCCGTTTCTTCAAGTCAGCCTTCACATGCCGACAGGCTCTGGATCTGGCCAGTCTCCTAGTCGCGGCCGACATGGGTCCGGCTCCGGTAATTTCTAGCTACGGCCAACACGGGTCTGGCTCAGGTCGCTTCTTCCAGCCGTGGCTCATATGAGTCTGGCTCCAGGTCACTCTTCTGGCTTAGGTCACATGAGTCTCATTTGTACAGTCCTCTGCTACGGTCAACAAGGATCTAGCTCGGGTCACTCCTTTACCTAAGGGCAAATATGGTTCTACATCAGGACAGTCATCAAGCTGTGGCCATGGAGCTAGCTCAGGTCAGCTCCTCCAGCCACGGTCAATATGGCTCTGGCTCAAATCAGTCTTCTGGCTATGGCCGACAGGGCTCTGGATCTGGCCAGTCTCCTAGCCGCCACATGGGGTCCGGTTCCGGCACTCTTCTAGCTACGGCCAACATGGGTCTGGCTCAGGTCGTTCTTCAAGTCAAATTGCTGCTATGGCCGAGCAGGGCTCTGGATCTGGGGCCAGTCTCCTAGTCGCGCCGATGGGTCCGGTTCCGGCACTCTTCAGCTACGGCCAACATGGGTCTGGCTCAGGTCGCTCTTCCAGCCGTGGCCCATATGAGTCTGGTTCAGGTCACTCTTCTGGGCTTTGGGTCAACATCAGTCTGGCTCAGGACAGTCCTCAGGAGGCAGTCAGCACGGAAGTGGCTCAGGGCACTCCTCTAGCCATGGACAACATGGTTCCACATCAGGACAGTCCTCAAGCTTCGGCCACAAGGACTTAGCTCAGGCAGTCTTCCAGCTACGGTCAGCAGGGCTCTGGCTCACATCAGTCTTCGGGCCATGGCCGACATGGGTCTGGATCTGGCAGGTCTCCTAGCCACGGTCGAAATGGGTCCAGTTCGGGTACTCACCGCCACGCCAACAAGGATCTGGCCCAGTTGTTCCTCCAGCCGTGGCTATTATGAGTCTGGCTCAGCCGTCTTTCTGGCTTTGGCATGAGCTGTCAGGCTCAGTACAGTCCTCTGGCTATAGTCACATAATTTGGCTCAGGTCATCCCTCTAGCCAGGACGAGCATGGATCTACATCAGGCATTCATCAAGCTCTGGGCCAACATGGCTCTAGCCAGCCGTCTTCCAGCTGTCAGTATGAGTCTGGCTCCCATCAGTCTTCGGTCGCGCAGACATGGGTCTGGATCTGGCCAGTCTTCAGGCTGCGGCCGACGTGGGTCTGGCTGTCAGGGCAGTCTCCCAGCTATGGCCAACATGGGTCTGGGCCAGGTCAGTTCTGTCAGTTCTGGCTACGGGGCCGACAGGCTCTGGATCTGGCCAGTCTCCTAGTCGCGCCTCGACATGGGTCCGGTTCCGCACTCTTCTAGCTACGCCAACACGGGCCCACCAGGCTGCCTTTTCCAGCCGTGGCCTATGAGTCTGGTTCAGGTCACTTCTTCTGGCTTAGGTCAACATGAGTCTCTGCCCAGGACAGTCCTCTGGCGCGTCAACAAGGATCTAGCTCGGTCACTCCTTTAACGGCGGCACATGGTTCTACATCAGGACAGCTCACTGGTTGTGGCCAACATGGAGCCAGCTCAGGTCAGTCTTCCAGCCACGGCCGAAACGGCTCTGTCACAAATCAGTCTTCTGGCTATGGGCCGATGGTGGGCCTGGATCTGCCAGTCTCCTAGTCGTGGCCGACATGGGTCCGGTTCCGGCACTCTTCTAGCCATGGCCAACAGCGGGTCTGGCTCAGGTCGTTCTTCAAGTCAGTCTGCTGGCTATGGCCGACAGGGTTTGGATCTGGCCAGTCTCTAGTCGCGTCATGGGTCCGCCCGGCACTCTTCTAGCTACGGCCAACATGGGTCTGGCTCAGGTCGCTTCTTCCAGCCGGGCTCATATGAGTCTGGTTCAGGTCACTCTTCTGGCTGGTCAATATGAGTTCCGGTTTGTGACAGTCTCAGGATACAGCCACGGAAGGGTCAGGCACTCCTCTAGCCATGGACAACATGGTTCCACATCAGGACAGTCCTCAAGCTTCGGCCAAGGGATCTAGCCTAGGCAGTCTTCCAGCTACGGTCAGCAGGGCTCTGGCTCACATCAGTCTTCGGGCCATAGTCACATGGGTCTGATCTGCAGGTCTCTAGCCACGGCTCAAAATGGGTCCGGTCGGGCATACCTGGCCACGGCCAACAAGGATCTGGCTCAGGTTGTTCCTCCAGCTGTGGCCACAGGAGTCTGGCTCAGCCAGTCTTCGGCTTTGGGCAACATGAGTCAGGCTCAGCACAGTCCTCTATTATAGCCAGCATGGTTCTGGCCTCAGGTCACTCCTCTAGCCAGGATGACATGGATCTACATCAGGGCATTCATCAAGCCTGGCCAACATGGTGGCTTCCAGCTCAGGTCAGCCTTCCAGCCATGGTCAGCATGAGTCTGGCTCCCATCAGTTCGGGTCGCTGCAGACATGGGTTCACCTGGCTAGTCTTCAGCCACGCCGACGGGTCTGGGTCAGGGCAGTTCCCAGCTATGAACAATATGGGTCTGGCTCAGGTCGCTTCAAGTCAGTCTTCTGGCTACGGCCGACAGGGCTCTGGACTGGCTGTCTCCAGTCGCTGCCGACATGGGTCCGCTCCGCACTTTCTAGCTACGGCTAACACGGGTCTGGCTCAGGTCGTTTCTTCCAGCCGTGGCCCATATGAGTCTGGTTCAGGTCACTCTTTCTGGCTTAGGGTCAACATGAGTCTCGGGCCAGGACAGTCCTCTGGCTACGGTCAACAAGGATCTAGCCTGGCCACTCCTTTACCCATGGGCAAACATGGTTCTACATCAGGACAGTCATCAAGCTGTGGCCAACATGGAGCTAGTTTGTGGTCAGTCTTCCAGCCACGGTCAACATGGCTCTGCTCAAATCAGTCTTCTGGCTATGGCCGACAGGGCTCTGGATCTGGCCAGTCTCCTAGTCGTGGCCGACATGGGTCCGGTTCCGGGCACTCTTCTAGCTACGGAGCAACATGGGTCTGGCTCAGGCTGTTCTTCAAGCTGTCTGCTGGCTATGGCTGACAGGGGCTCTGATCTGGCTGCTAGTTCTGAAGGCGGCCGACATGGTCCGGGTTCCACTCTAGCTACGCCAACATGGGTCTGGCTCTGTGGCCGCTTCTTCCAGCCGGTGGCCTATGAGTCTGTTCAGGTCATCTGGCTTTGGTCAACATGAGTCTGGCTCAGGACAGTCCTCAGGATACAGTCAGCACGGAAGTGGCTCAGGCACTCTCTCTCTAGCCATGGACAACATGAATTCCACATCAGGACAGTCCTCTCAAGCTTCGGCCACAAGGATCTAGCTCAGGCAGTCTTCCAGCTACGGTCAGCAGGGCTCTGGCTCACATCAGTCTTCGGGCCATGGCCGACATGGGTCTGGATCTGGCAGGTCTCCTCAGCCACGGTCGCAATGGGTCCAGTTCGGCACTACCCGGCCACGCCATCAAGGATCTGGCTCAGGTTGTTCCTCCAGCCGGTGGCCATTATGAGTCTGGCTCAGGCCAGTCTTCTGCTTTAGCAACATGAGTCAGGCTCAGCACAGTCCTCTGGCTATAGTCAGTATGGTTCTGCCTCAGGTCACTCCTCTAGCCAGGGACGACATGGATCACATCAGGGCATTCATCAAGCTCGGGCCAACATGGCTCTAGCTCAGGTCAGTCTTCCAGCTATGGTCAGCATGAGTCTGGCTCCCATCAGTTCGGCCGCGGCAGACATGGGGTCTGGATCTGGCCAGTCTTCTCAGGGGCCACGGCCGACGTGGGTCTGGGCCAGGCAGTCTCCCAGCTATGGCCAACATGGGTCTGGCTCAGGTCGTTCTTCAAGTCAGTCTTCTGGCTACGGCCGACAGGGCTCTGAATCTGGCCAGTCTCCTAGTCGCGTCGATATGGGTCCGCTCCGGCACTCTAGCTACTGCCAACACGGGTCTGGCTCAGGTCGCTCTTCCAGCCGTGGCCCATATGAGTCTGGTTCAGGTCACTTTTTCTGGCTTAGGTCAACATGAGTCTCGCCTGCACAGTCCCTCTGGCTACGTCAACAAGGACCCAGCTCGGTCACTCCTTTACCCATGGGCAACATGGTTCACATCAGGACAGTCATCAAGCTGTGGCCAACATGGAGCTAGCTCAGGTCAGTCTTCCAGCCACGGTCAACATGGCTCTGGCTCAAATCAGTCTTCTGGCTATGGCCGACAGGGCTCTGGATCTGCCAGTCTCCCTAGTCGTGGCGATATGGGTCCGGTTCCGGGCACTCTTTCTAGCCACGCCAACATGGGTCTGGCTCAGGTCGTTTCTTCGGTCAGTCTGCTGGCTATGGCCGACAGGGCTCTGGATCTGGCCAGTCTCCTAGTCGCGGCCGACATGGGTCCGGTTCCGGGCACTCTTCTAGCTACGGCCAACATGGGTCTGGCTCAGGTCGTTCTTCCAGCCGTGGCCCATATGAGTCTGGTTCAGGTCACTCTTCTGGCTTTGGTCAACATGAGTCTGGCTCCAGACAGTCCTCAGATACAGTCAGCACGGAAGTGGCTCAGGGCACTCCTCTAGCCATGGACAACATGGTTCCACATCAGGACAGTCCTCAAGCTTCGGCCACAAGGGATCTAGCCTAGGCAGTCTTCCAGTCATTGTCAGCAGGCTCTGGCTCATATCAGTCTTCGGCCATACTGACATGGGTCTGGATCTGGCAGGCTTCCTAGCCACGGCTCGAAATGGGTCCAGTTCGGGCACTACTCCCGGCTACGGCCAACAAGGATCTGGCTCAGGTTGTTCCTCCAGCCGTGGCCACATGAGTCTGGCTCAGGCCAGTCTTCTGGCTTTGGGCAACATGAGCCGCCCAGCACAGTCCTCTGGGCTATAGTCAGCATGGTTCTGGCTCAGGTCACTCCTCTAGCCAGGGACGACATGGATCTACATCAGGCATTCATCAAGCCTGGGCCAACATGGCCCTAGCTCAGGCTGGTCTTCCAGCTGATGGTCAGTATGAGTCTGGCTCCCATTGGGTTCGCCGCGCAGATATGGGTCTGGATCTGGCTAGTCTTCAGGCTACTGTCACGGGGTCTGGGCCAGGGCAGTCTCCTTAGCTATGGCTAACATGGGTCTGGCTTCAGGTCGCTCTTCAAGTCAGTCTTCTGGCTACGGCCGACAGGGCTCTGAATCTGGCCAGTCTCCTAGTCGCCGGCGGGTCCGGTTCCGGCACTCTTCTAGCTACGGCCAACACGGGTCTGGCCTGTAATGCCCAGCCGTGGCCCATATGAGTCTGGTTCAGGTCACTCTTTCTGGCTTAGGTCAACATGAGTCTCGCTCAGACAGTCCTCTGGCTACGGTCAACAAGGATCTAGCCTGGTCACTTCCTTACCCATGGGCAAATATGGTTCTACATCAGGACAGTCATCAAGCTGTGGCCAACATGGAGCTAGCTCAGGTCAGTCTTCCAGCCACGGTCAACATGGCTCTGGCTCAAATTCAGTCTTGGCTATGGCCGACAGGGCTCTGGATCTGGCTAGCCCCCTGAAGCCGTGGGCGACATGGAACCGGGTTCCGGTAATTTCTAGCTACGGCCAACATGGGTCTGGCTCAGGTCGTTTTTCAAGTCAGTCTGCTATATGGCCGACAGGGCTCTGATCTGGCCAGTCTCCTAGTCGCCGACATGGGTCCGGGTTCCGGCACTCTTCTAGCTACGGCCAACATGGGTCTGGCTCAGGTCGCCTTTCCAGCCGTGGCCTATGAGTCTGGTTCAGGTCACTCTTCTGGCTTTGGTCAACATCAGTCTGGCTCAGGACAGTCCTCAGGATACAGTCAGCACGGAAGTGGCTCAGGGCACTCCTCTAGCCATGGACAACATGGTTCCACATCAGGACAGTCCTCAAGCTTCGGCCACAAGGGATCTAGCTCAGGGCAGTCTTCCAGCTACGGTCAGCAGGGCTCTGGCTCACATCAGTCTTCGGGCCATGGCCGACATGGGTCTGGATCTGGCAGGTCTCCTAGCCACGGCCGAAATGGGTCCAGTTCGGGGCACTTCCCCGGCCACGGCCAACAAGGATCTGGCTCAGGTTGTTCCTCCAGCCGTGGCCATTATGAGTCTGGCTCAGGCCAGTCTTCTGGCTTTGGGCAACATGAGTCAGGCTCAGCACAGTCCTCTGGCTATAGTCAGCATGGTTCTGGCTCAGGTCACTCCTCTAGCCAGGGACGACATGGATCTACATCAGGGCATTCATCAAGCTCTGGCCAACATGGCTCTAGCTCAGGTCAGACTTCCAGCTTTGGTCAGCATGAGTCTGGCTCCCATCAGTCTTCGGGTAGCGGCAGGTGTGGGTCTGGATCTGGCCAGTCTTCAGGCCGCAGCCGACGTGGGTCTGGGTCAGAGCAGTCTGCCAGCTACGGCCAACATGGGTCTGGCTCTGGCCGGTCTTCCAGCTGTGGCCCACATGCGTCTGGCTCAGGCCAGTCTTCTGGCTTTGGTCCACACGAGTCTAGCTCAGGGCAGTCCTCTGGTTATAGTCAGCATGGTAGTGGCTCAGGGGCAGGTGGGTATTCTTATTGCAAAGGAGGAAGTAACTCTGAAGGTGAAAGTTCTTGCTCAGATTTTCTCAGTTTTCATAGTAGGACTTCACCCTATGAATATATCCAAAAGCAGAGGTGCTACTTTTAGCGTTGAAAAATAAATATAAATGCAACTTACTCAAGTAGCAATTTTAGAAATAGGAAAGTCATCTATGAATTCATCATGAGAGACAAGCAATCTATCATGAAATTCTTTCTAAAAGTGAATCTATCCTTTTTTGTCTCTTTCTTTAAAGCCTATAACTATAGCATATATCTTGTTATGGGGTTCCTTCCAAACACTGTTAGGCATTTGCACTATTTTTTAGAAAATGCTGAGTGGAATAACTTGTTAGAATCAGGGTTAAACTTTGAGGAATAATGAAAAGCTTTTAAAGAGCTTTGCGTTTAGTTGGAGGTGTCTTTTTGAGGGTTCATCATTCAATTATAGATGGTGTCAAAGCTAACCTTACATTTCTTAAAAGCAAAATATTACAAATGCATTACCAGTCCTAGATACAAAGCATTGTTTTACAGCAATTATTGTACCATAATTTTTAGTGTGTCCCATGTTTGGTGTGTCCCAATTTTTGGTATTGTGGCAGAAGGTGAACGCTCTGAAAGCAAAGATGCAGCAGTGGTAGTGTCTTTACTTATCAAAACCATCAAGTCCCTTTTCTTGGGTATATCTTTAATCAGTAAGCTAATTAGTGGCATAAAAAGTAGCACCAGGGACTTTTCCCAAGCCTATGAGTAAGAGCATTATTTCATAAAGAACATGGATTTATCAGTTCGGGGAAAAAAACATTCAAATGTGGGCTTTAGCTTGTTTACAGCAAGAAAGATCTTGCTCCCTATTTCTAAGCGGCTGCTCGATATTGGGAAACATATTGAGGAGTTATTCCATGGAAATACAATGCTTTCCACCTACTACTGTATTTCAATAACCTTTCCACCTAAAAAAAATCATCCATGCCCAGATGAAAAGAAAGAGTATCTGTCACTGCTCTATAGTACCTTAATTTGACTGTAACATATTCGTTTCAAGTCTTTGGATTCAAACAACTGGATTGCATTAAAATTGACAATAAATAAATGTTGATTAAATACTAAGATTTTTCTCATCTGTGCTTCATTTCACTTCTTACATACAGATGGTCATCCTAGAAACCAACCCAGATAGCTATTTCCCAATATTCTATTTTTCACAAACAATGAAGAATAGATAAAGCATTCTTAAAACTAAGACAAACTACTTCATTTAAAAATGAGCAAAATTCCATGACACTAGTATTGGCAATGATTTTTTTGATATGACACCAAAATCACACAATAATGTGGAGCTGTCAGCTCCATAAATGCTATTGTCCCTGAAGACCTTAGAGGGAGGCAACATACGGAGGTAGAAGGTGATATTTGTCTTAGTTTAACCAAAAGTTTTTAGTTTTAGTTTTAGTTTTTAACAAAATGTTTTTTTAAAAATTTAAAATTTAAAACAGAAGAAAGCTTATAGAATAATGATGTAAAGAAAAAAACATTTGTGTTCAGCTATACAATGTGTTTATGCTTTAAGCTAAGTGTTACTAAGAGAGTCAAAAAGTTTAACAATGTAAAAGTCTATAAAACTAAAAAGTTACAGTAAGCTCAGGTTAATTTTTATTGGAGAAAGAAATTTTTTTATAAATTTAGTGTAACTCAAGTGTATAGTGTTTATACACTCTACAGTAGTATACAGTAATGTCCTAGGCCTTCCCATTCACTCACCACTAACTGACTGACACACCTAGAGCAACTTCTAGTCCTACATGCTCTATTCATGGTAAATGCCCCATACAAGTGTACCTTTTTTAACTTTTATGGCATATTTTTACTGTACCTTCTTTAAGTTTAGATATGTTCAGATGCACACTTACCATTGTGTTAGTTGCCTACAGTAGTCAGTATAGTAACATGCTGTACAGGTTTGTAGCTTAGGAGCAATAGTCTATACCATATAGTCTAGTTGTTTAGTAAGCTATGCCATCTAGATTTGTGTAAGTACACTCTCTGATGTTTGCCTAAGGGTGCATTTTTCACAACATATCCCCCATTGTCAAGCAACATGATCGTGTACTTTACTATACGGCCTAGCAATTCCACTCCCAAGCGAAATAACTTATGTCTACATTGAAGATTTTTACATGAATGTTTATAGCAGCTTTAATAATAGCCCCAAACTTGAAACAATCCAAATGCCCACCAACAGATGAGTGGATAAACAAATTGCGGTATGGCTATACACTGGAATTCTATTCAGCAAGGAAAAAAAGAATAAACTACTGATACATATAATATAGATGAATCTCAAAAACATGTTGCTCAAAAGAAGCCATCCACAAAACAGTACATATTTATGATTCCATTTATATGAAACTTACTAAAAACAAACCTAATCTATAAAAATAGAAAGTAGATCAGTGGTTGACTAGGGGCTGGGAGTAGAACTTGTGAACTGGCTGGAAGAGTCACAAAGGAACACTCTAGCGTGATGGAATAAATCTATATGTAGCTTATAATCGTTGTTACATATATACTTTTGTCAAAATTCACATAATCATATATATTTTATTATATGGAAATTATATCTCAATAAAGTTGATTGTTTAAAGGCTTTCTGTGCAACTTGACACACGATTTTCTTTTGTTTTTTGTTTTTTGGTTTTTTGGGGTTTTTTTTTTTTGAGACAGTCTCACTCTGTTGCCCAGGCTGGAGTGCAGTGGCACAATCTCGGCTCACTGCAACCTCCATCTCCTGTGTGCAAGTGACTCTCCTGCCTCAGTCTCCTGGGATTACAGGCATGCAGCACCACACCCAGTTAATTTTTGTATTTTTAGTAGGCAGGGTTTCACCATGTTGGCCAGGCTGGTCTCAAACTCCTGACCTCAGGTGACCTGCCCACGTAGGCCTCCCAAAGTGCTGGCATTATGTGAGCCACCAAGATAAAGAAGGAGAGGAGTTTCATCTCATCAGATATCAAAATATATAACAAAGTTATATTATTTAAAACAGTGCAGAATTGTTGTAGGAACAGATATACAGTGCAATGTGACTCCAGAAACAGATCCATGCATACTTGATATACAAGAGCAGTGGTTTTGCCTATCAGTGGAGAAAGGCAACTCTTTCAATAAATGGTGCCAAGGTAATGAATTTTCCATAGGAAAAAAATTATCTCTATTTCACACCATTTACAAAAATCACTTCCAAGTAAATAAAAACCTAACTGTGATAAGCCAAACTTCTAAAAATTTTTAATGAAAATATAGGAGAATATCTTTATGACTTCAAAATAAGTGCAGATTCTTTAAACAAGAAATACACAAACCACCAAGGAAAGACTCATGACTTTTACTATAATTAAATTCCAAATGTCTATAAATCCAAAGACACTCTCAAAAAGTAAAAGGGACAAAGCACAGAGTTGAAGAACATTTTTCAAATGCCTATAAACAACAAATGATTAACAGCCACATTATATAAATAACATAAAAATTAAAAATTTAAAAAAAAAACAGCAAAACTTATAAAAAGAAAATTCACCAAAGGTAATCTGAATGGCAAAGTGACATTTTTAAAACAATGCTCAGGGAAATAGATAATTAAAACACAATGAAATTCATTTCATACCCATCGGATCAGAAAAAAACTAAAGTCTGGCAATATCCAGTGTTGAGGACACTGAGCAGCAAAAGTCTAAATTGATGACTAATTAAGAGGAAATCTGGCAACCACAGACAAGAGTCTGTAACAGCAAAATGTTACAAACAACCTAAAAGTTCAATAGAAGAATAGATAAATTGTAATATACCCATACACTAAAATGCTATACAGCAGTTAAAATTCATGAGCTACAGGTATGTATATATCAACATGGACAAATTCCTAAAGTGTAATGCTAAGTGAAAAGGTTGTAAAACAAGTATACATGTTTTGATACCATTTATATAGTTTTACAATATATATAACAATACCATATATTGTTTGTGGTTAATACATATTTGGTAAATGTAAAAATCTTTATGTGAATGGTAAACGGCAAATTCAGAACAGTGTGTACCTCTGGAAGGAAGGAAGAAAATGGGACTGAGACCGAATAAACAATACCAAAAGTTTTCTTAAGCAAGATGGTATTCATTATATTATTCACTGACTTGTAAATCTACACTTACTTGTAAATCTTAAATTATTTTGTAAGAAAAAGGATAACACAAAGAACAATGTCAGAATGCCCATCAAGGACCGCTCAAGGGAGAGTGTTCTGACAAGCTAGTCCACTGGTATATCTGGTCCAGCATGTCCTAGTTTTTTAAATAAACGTCTCACCACGTGAGTGCCTAATGATACTCATCAGCTGAACCACACAACAAACCCTCTGCCATCTCTGCCATAGACTTCAAACTCACCAAGGGGCCTTCTAGAAAATTTGGCTTTCCATAGTTTTCCCAAAAGGAGAAAGCATTCATCAGCAAGATTAATACAAACACCCAGTGTTTCTGATAATGCATTTCTGACTGTAAATTAATAAAATGGCACTCTGGTTTTTATACTTCAGTCCCTGATGAATTCAGTTACAATGAAACAGCTCTCCTGAGTCTGACCAACTCTGGGGCACTGATATGAGTGCATTTCTGGGCATATAAGGATGAGAACCAAACCCTGACCCTTTTTCTGGGCAACACCCCAACCTTATTCTTTGCCTTTCAAGGTAAGGGGCAAGAAAATTTTTCTAATAAGAGAAAGCAAAGAAATTCTCAATAAATGCTTAGTTATATAATTAAGCCAAGTTTTTCACAATGTTTCTCTTTTCCTTATTATGACTCTAGAACCTAAAGAACCATAATGTTACAGCTAAAAGAAGAAAAGAGAAAGAGGCGGGCTGTTTCACGCAGGATCTTATAGAATCTCAATACCTCATCCCAAGTTGGATCTCATTTTTGTTAGTTTTTTTCTGTACACTCAAATGTGATCAAGCTCTGGGAGACAGATTAATTCTAAGCAAAGTCTTAAGGGTTCAATTTATTTATTTATTTATTAACTACAAGCTATAAATGTATTCAGAACAAGAATCA